CCCCCTGCACCCCCATCCAGGCCCCCTACCTTGAGCAGGGGCTGCTCGTCACACAGGAAGATCTGCCGCTTCTTGGCGATGGTGGTGGTACGGTAGAAGTCAACCAGTTCGTTGAGGGAGTTGAATTTCTCCTCCCACAGGAAGTACTTCCCCGAGGCCTCACGCAGCACCTTGAAGTGCTGCACCTGGTCCCCGTAGCTAGGGAAGAGAACCCACGGCCACCTCAGACCATGGCTGTCCCAGCCTGGCACAGTCCCAGGAGCTCCCATCTCACACTGTCTGGGACCAGATCTTGAGTCTGAGGTGTTAAGATTCTATCCTGAGGACAAGAGGGAGCAATAGAAGGTTCTTGGGACTCAAGATCTGGCTCAGTGTGAGACCTGGAGTCAGAAAGGTGCAAGTGGGGGAGACGCCCCCATCCGGACCCACAGAAGGTCTGGGGAGTCCCACCAGGCAGTAGAATATGGGGTTAAGGGTATGGGCTCTGGACCAGGCCATTCTTGCTGTGTGAGCTTAGGCAAGTCACTTAACTTCTCCGAACCTCCGTTTCCTCGTGGTGGTAACATCTCCCTGATGGAGGAGTGCACAGAAAATACTGACTGTGGCTGGTTGGCAACATGAAACGATACCTCTGCAGGAGTGGTCATCAGAAAGCGTCTCCTTCATATCTCTTGAACAGCCACCTCAGTGGTTGCATTCTCCTCCCTCCCAGAACTCTCCAGTCCCCACAGTCCCTTGAAGGCGAGTCCTAAGATCGTCTTGACTCAGACCAAAGCCTCTGGTCTGAAGAGCTCAGCCATGCTGGATGCCTCATGTCCTCCCCACTCCCAAGAACCTTCTGTTGCTCCCTATTGTCCTTAGGATAGAATCTTAATGCCTCAGACTCAAGATCTGGCTCAGATCACATGTCCAGCCTCATTTCCTTTCTACCCTACATCAATGAGCTTCCTTCTCCCTCAGTTCCCGGCCTTTGCCTGGCCTTCCAGCCTACTGCCACCAACTGATCCAAGGGCCTTCCAGCCTGGCTGAGGAAACAGCCTGCTCTCCTAAACTGGACAGTGGGGCAGAGCCTGTCCCTCAGGGGCCGGGCAGAGGGACTTGCCCGGTGCCCCTGACACCATCATGCTGGAACAGGCCATGCAGGGCTGGAGCTGGAGGTGGTGCTGGTTTGGGTCAGGTCAGTGGCGGACACAACTACTTCGGGGTGCCAGGCTGGCCTAACAGCCTGGGAGGAGCAAATCAGGCCCTTTGCACAGTGGGGAAACTGAGGCCCCGAGTGCAGCCGTGACCTGCCCAGAGAGCAAGAGAGGTCAGAGCTGGGGTCACATCTGAGCAACACAGGTAAAGTGTTGCTTAACACCCTCCCGATTGGTGGTTACCGAATAACAATACAATAACAATTATTCCAATTATGATATTAATAATGTCCCAGATCTCGTCTTCCCCAGTCCAGTTCTACTCCACCATGTTGCCACGTGGGCTGGGACCCCCGGGAGGCACCCCCTCCTCTGTCCTCTGCCCAGCCAAACTGTAGCTGGCCTTTCTGGCCTCCGTGTCCTCGCCTTCTCACAGGAGAGGCAAGAGGCCTGGGACTCTAGGGGCTGCTGGACAAAGCCACCCTGGGCCCACCTGGCTGGGCTGGGGCCGTAGGGAGGACACACAGGAGGAAGCCAGTTCAGGAGGTGCGGGGGGTGGCACCCCGCTCAGGCGGCTGGTGGGGCTGAAAGCCGGGAAAGCCCGGGAACTGTGGGTGGCGTGAGACAAGGGGTGGGAGCACAGGGAGGTCACTGGGAGGGAGACAGCCCTCTGCCTCCCGAGCCAAAGGCCGTGGCTCACTGTGCTCCCATAAATGAGACCTGACTGCCAGTCCAGAGACGTGTGAACACGCGCACACACCTCCTGAGTTCTCAATGAAAATCTGGTTAAACACTGTGGATGCAATGCATTTGGACGCCAGGGTCTACCCGCAGCCTGAGTTTCTTTAGGCCTACGGCTCTCCTGAATGAGACAGTAGCGTCCAGTATGTCTGCTGCCCAGACTTGAGGCTCTCTATCCCATCTCTGCCTGCGGTTCAGTCCACCTGTCAGCGCTGGGGCTGGCCTGCTGCTTTGTAGAAGGTTTAAGATTAAAAGTTTAAGATTAAAAAAAGCTGGGGGGGGAGGGCCCGGCCAGGTGAGAAAAAAAAAAAAAAGCTGGGCGCAGTGGCTCACGCCTGTCACCCCAACACTTTAGAAGGCCGAGGTGGTAGGATTGCTTGGGCCCAGGAGTTAGAGACCAGCCCAGGCAACAGAACGAAACCTCGACTCTACAAATTAGCCAGGTATGGTGGCACACACCTGTAGTCCCAGTTACTCAGGAGGTGGACGCAGGAGTATCACCTGAGCCCAGGAGGTCAAGGCTGCAGAGAGCCATGCCACTGCACTCCAGATTGGGCAACAGAGTGAGAACTTGACTCAAAAAAAAAAAAATTATTTGTTCAAGTAACCACCCCCTGGCCTGCATGAGCAGTAGAGCAAAGTGGGACTCTCCCTCCCCAGCCAGAGTGAAGGGGTCCAAGCCACAGAGGCCCTCTCTTTCCACTTCTAAACACACCTCCAGATCTTTGCACACACTATTTCCTCCTCCAGTTGAATGGAATATGTCTCAAACTCCTACTCATGCCTCAAGGCCCAGGTAAAATGGTCCCCATTCAGAGTCAAGGGCCTCGTTGGGTCCCTCAGCCTCTCGTACAGCCTTCTGGTAACTCACTGCTCCTAATGACTTGCACACTAGACACCAGGAAGCAGGGAGGCAGGAGCAGACCCTGAGGGTCCAGTCTAGCTGGGACTCAGGGCTTGCCCAAGCCTGATGTTCTTATCTGGATGCTTTGTCCTTGAAAGCTTCTTCGCTAGCTCTGGGCTGGGACTGCAGCCCGCCAAGTGTCCTGGCCCTGAAAAGGGGGCTCTGGTGGCAAGCCTGACATGCTGTGTCCAGCTCTCAGGGCAGCTCAGTAAAGGAGCCGGCTCTCCCTACAAGGACAGAGGCTCTAGACCAGGAGGAGTGACGGTCCCCAAACCCGAGACACAGCTGCTCGCGTGCTGTCAGCGGCCCTACCTCCCAGTGACTCAGCCGCTCATGCCGCCGGCTGTGGGACATGTGTGCCTGTATGCCGGCGATGCAGAGGGCGTGCAGGCAGATGGGTGTCTCCCGCCCTGTCTGGCCTGCTGCAGCCCTCTGGAGCCTTCCCAGAGGCAGCCTCTGAGCCCCCACAGTTCCTCGGTGCTGCGCTCTGACAAGCTCCAGGCTTTCTGGACTTTGGACACACTGCACAGGGAGGAGTGAGGGCGACCCTCGGCAGGGCAAGCAAGAAGCTGGGGCACAAGGATCCCAGTGGCTTGGTGTCTGGGCTCCCGGCGGGTGCAGAGGCAGGAAGCCCTGCCTCCCTGCCCACCCCGAGGAGGAGCTTGGGGCCCAGGTGGCCCTGCTTCTCCGGGTGAGGGGACAGAAAGGGTGTGGCAACTTTGAGAAATAATTCAAGCCGAGCTCAGTGGCTCAGCCTGTAATCCCGCGCTTTGGGAGGCTGAGGTGAGTGGATTGCCTGAGCCCCCGGGGTTCGAGACCAGCCTGGGTAACTTGGCGAGACCTCATCTCTACAATAAATCAAAAAAATTAGCCGGGCATGGTAGCACGCGCCTGTAGTTCCAGCTACTTGGAAGGCTGAAGCGGAAGGATCGCCGGAGCCCAGCAGGTTGAGGCTGCGGTGGCCGGGAGTGGCCACTGCACTCCAGCCTGGGCGACAGAGTGAGACTCCAACTCAAAAAAAAAAAAAAAAAAAAAAGAAAGAAAGAAAAGAAAAATAATTCAATCCCAAACGACTACAGCTTTGAATATTTTGGCATCTGAAGGCCATCTTCAGATACCTGGACAGTTGTTATCTAGAACAAAGTATTCTCTGATCATATAGGAGGGTCAGGGAGTGGAGAACAGATGAGATAAGGAAAAGGGAACAAGGGACCCAGGATTTCCAGAACATTCCAGCCGGGAATTAGAGAACTCTCAAATCCGGGATACTAACCTGTGCCAGCCCCTACCTGTGCATGGCATGCAGTAGGTGCTCAGGAAGTGGCAGGGCTTGTCCCTTCCTTTGTCTCACCTGGCCCAAACGTCCTGTCTTACAGCGGGGATGGGGGGTGGGAGAGGGGAGACAGTCCAGGGCCACGAGGGCTGCTGTTTGCAGAGCTGCTGTGCCATCTGCAGCCCTGGCGGCTGAGTCGGCCCCTGTCTGAGGCTGGGCAGGGCTTTCTTCCATCTCAGGGGCCCAGCGCTTAGCCTCGGGGCAGCCGGTCTCTCTCACAGCGGGCCTGTTTCCCAGGTGTGGCTGGCCCCCCCCCATGTCCTCACCGGGAATAACGCGCCTTCCCGCTGCCTGGTCTTGGCCTTAGACATCCTTCAAGACCCAGGTGGAGCCCCGAGGCATCTGAGAAGTCCCCAGACCAGGGGCTGCCCTCTGGGACCTCTTTAGACCTCCACCCACCCCCAGGCCTGAGGGAGCTTCAGGGCCCAGATGACTCCTCCTGACCCAGGAGGGCTGGATCAAATGCAGACAGCCCTGCTGGGGGAGCCCCCCAGAGCCAGAGGAGTGAGGGGGATCGGCAGGGAGTCTGAGGCAGAGTCTGACCCTGGGGTTGGTGAGAGGAGGAAGATGCTGGGGACGGTCACTCAGTGGGCAGTGCCTGGGGGACAAGAGGGAGTCTGCATCATCCTGGATGTGCGCCGCTGGCACGCTGGTGTGTGTGTGTGTGTGTGTGTGTGTGTGTGTGTGTGTGTGTGTCAGCGTGTGTCTTCCACTCCGGGGAGGGACTGTACGTGTGTATCTCTTGCTCAGCAGTCACAGGTGTCTTTGTCTCTGTGTGTGACCCCCCAACCTACCCACCCATGGGGATGAGGAGCTGGGCTGTCAGAAAAGCCCCAGGGACCAGGACAGGCCTGATGCAGGCAGCAGCCAGTCCTGCCCAGCGGGTTTTTCTGGCCTGGTGGCGGCAGCAGCAGCAAAGGTGACAGTGGCAGCCCAGGGAGGAAAAACAAGGCTGGGGTGGGGGCAGGAGCCCCAGGACACCCCCACTCCCATCACCCTGGCCAGGGCCTGGACCCACTTGGACAGAGGCCTGGGTGCTGACTGCCAGGTATGGCCCCTTTCTGGCCTCGCTTTGCCCATCTGC